ATAGTAGACACTGAATAATTCATAGTAGACACTGAATAATTTATAGTAGTTACTGAAAAATTCATAGTAGATAGTGAATAATTCATAGTACACTGAATAATTCATAGTAGACACTGAATAATTCATAGTAGATACTGAATAATTCATCGTAGACACTGAATAATTCATAGTAGATAGTGAATAATTCATAGTAGATAGTGAATAATTCATAGTAGACACTGAATAATTCATAGTAGACACTGAATAATTCATAGTAGACAGTGAATAATTCATAGTAGACACTGAATAACTCATAGTAGACACTGAATAATTCATAGTAGACACTGAATAATTCATAGTAGACGGAATATTTAATAAAAAATAAAACGCTCTTTTAAATGTAAAACAATCTGAAAAACTTTCTGCTGGTGCTGTAGAAGCTCAGTACTGCAGAGGCGTTCCTGCTGAGAGCTTTCAACACGATTAAAATAACCACATCATACAAGGATACAATGACAGTTATTTATTAAGAGATTGTTTTTTTTTTTCCTTTTATATCATCAAATACTGATAAATAGAGCCTGTTACAAAAAGCTTGAATCAAATCACAAAAAAATCCACAACTAATACTTTTACAATTTGTACATTACAGATATTTACAAAATTGTCTTGTCGCCCTTCTTTACACAAATTTCAAAATGAAATTAAAACGGTACCATTTAGTAAATACCCTTTTATTTTCAGAGCGCGGCTGAGGCAGGTGGCGCTGCTGTTTGAGTGGTGGATCATCTTTATTGTGCATTTATTTCGTGATCTAGTTCGGGAATTCCCAACATCTCAAACATCTAACAAGCGCGCGCCTCAACTTGAGTTTATGTTTATTAGTATTAATGAAAATTCCCCGTTTCCTTTGTTGATCCCTGAAGAGAGAGTCTGTTGAGGCACATGAAGGATAAGTGTGTGAGTCTGTTAAGGCATGTTAAGTGTAATCTGCATTTACTAATATCTGATTTGAAGGCCACCTACACCCTACAAAGCTTTAAAAAGTTACTTAAAACTCATTTTAGATGAACTTTAATAGACGTTTGGTTTTATATTTTGTCCTATAATGTTTTGATTGGTGGTTTGTAGCGCTTTGGGTTTAAAAAAGCGCATTATGAATGGAATTTATTATTATTTTTACTATTATTAATATTGAGACTTCACAAAACATACATGAGCACTGAATAGGGTTTAAAAAGCAACAGTTATAACAGTGTTATGAAGCATCATTCCAAATAAGAGGCCCATAGAACCCAATATTGCACTAATTTCCCAAAAATGAAAACAAAACACTTAACTTGGTCAAAAAGTGTAATAAAACCTACTAATCTAATAACTTGCTCAATAACCTAATACAATGTCTTAACTGAATGTAATAACACTTGTACCAAACATGTAATACCTTATGTTATTATAAGGTACAAAAAAAAAGATGGTTATTCAAAGTTTCTTAATAGTAATAAATAGAACCATGAACACAAAGAACAATACGCATGCTTAAAGGGGTCTATGTAGACCATTTCTGAAAAGGGTTCTATATAGCATCAAAAAGAGTTCTTTTGTTGTTACAAGCTAATTGTAACAATGCCAGAACCATCTTGTTGCTATACAGAACCATATACAACACATTCTCCATCAATCTGAAGAACGATTTCATCATGCAAAGAACCCTTAAAGCACGCAAATGGTTCTTTGAGTGATCATGGTTCTATATAGAAGTGCTGTCTTTACTAAGGAACCCTTGAAGAACCATCAATTGGAAGAGTGAACTGCAATAATGTACAGCTGTAATACTGTAAGACCTGACTGCATTACTGAGAAGGTTCTGTATTTAGAACTGGATGATGTGATACTTAAAGAGCAGTTATTAAAGGTCTCCTACAGTGATTCTGCACTGTATATAGGAATCAACCCAGCCCGGAACAACTGGGAGCATCAATGAGACAAAGGCCCAGTCCCATTTCACCCCTCGCCCCTACCACTCAGCCCTACCCCTCTGTTTTGCGTGTTCACGTCTAGGGGTAGGGTGTCCTGATTCTTGTTGAGACAGAGGGGAGGATGGAGAACAAGAGACCAGAGGATGGAGAACAAGAGACCAGAGAAACACACAAATGTGAGAATTTTCTCTGTTAGAAAATTATGATAACCACTGTATTATCTTAATTTAATATCATTTTAATGTATTATGGTGCTTTTCTTCACAACAAGCATAAAACAAATCACTAGTAGTGCTGATGTCTCGGTAGCTAGCTGGCTAATTTCCCGTTCCACCTTAAATGGTGCAGCAGTTACATTCTGGAGCCTCAGAACTGCTGCACCATTTAAGGTGGAATGAGAAAATTCGAACAAGAATCTGGTGAATATCTGACTTCAGCTTCATATCACTGAAGAATTAGGGGTGGGTGATAATAAATAATTGCCCCCCTCTTTGAAGATCATATGATGCCCTAAATGTAACTAAAGCCCAGCAGTGAGGAGCTGAACTTTACCCTCCTCTGCTGTCACTGCAGACTGGCAGGGTCTCCTACAGAGCAGCGCTGGTAGCTGTTAATGAAGTGATGCTCTTTTTATTTGAGGATCCCATTTCAGAGGAAGATTTCAACCACTACAACTTGTAGCTCAGTTCCAAAGGGGTTAGAGTGACACTCGAAAACAAGGGGTAGGGGTAAAAAGAGGAAATGGGACTGAGCCGAAGTCTTAAATTAGCTCATTCTTCTTTTAGAAAGAGCCTCCACTTCTGAGAGTGACTCTCTTTACAACTGTAACTGTCCCAGTCTGGACAAAGTAACACAGTCCTACGAAAATCAGATGAAAAATTATATTTATGATGGAGAAAAACAGTAAAACAGTCAAATTAGACTGGAACCAGAGAGCCAAAAGTGGGACATTCTGTTCTTCTCAATAATGTAATATGGTATTAAATATAGTCAATTTAAAATATATTAGATTCCCAATAATGTAAGAATTGCATTAACAGTAAAAATCTTAATATATTATACACTATTGGGTTCTACAAGGTCTAGTTTTCACACTAAAGTGGTGATTTTCATTCATATTTTCCTTCAGTTTGAAGGAATCTTTTACCTTCCATTGCTTCAGAATGATGCTTCATAACAGTGACTTCATAACAGTGTTATAAACCTCACTTTACTATATGGGCCCTCATGTCAATACACAGTCAGTTACTTTATAACACATATTAATGTGAATCCTGAAATGGGCAGTCCATAAACACTCAAGTATTGCTTTATAAACACATTATTCAAAGCTTATGAATGTGCTATGAAGCCTGTGTGTAGGTAGCCTTCAAATAAAGGCCATCATCCTCCTTCATGACTCCATTTCTCCAAAAACAGAAGGCGTCTGGTGTAACATGGCAGCCCTTGAATAGAGAAACACCACTAAATTAAAGCATCTGAATGATCCTGCATTGTTTCGCACCTTGATGCGATTGAAAACTGCCAAAGCGCCCCCTGGTGGTCCAGGCAATTTAGCACCATGCTTTACTGTGGAAGATTTTACATGGCAGAAAACTGAAAAGTTACACACAGGCTGTGTACAGATAGGCTAAATTATGACACATTCATTATTGCCGCCCATTAGGGAGGCGGAAAAGAACTGGATAGTCTTGCATTTGCGAGAAAACGACAGCTGTGTTCGTGACGAGAAGAGAAACTGAAAGTTTTTAATGGAAACAAAGCATTTCTGTTGTTATTCCTCTTTTTAAAAGGCTATTTTTCTTCCCAGAGTAACATAATTTGCCCGGCCTGCAGGCGAGGACTCCTTCAGTGGACCCAGATTTGAAGCGATGTGGCCAAAATTACAGAAACACGAACGCATTTCTGCCAATCAAGGCTGGGCAGACGCCGTCCGAGCCGCGTTTACAGTTTAGCTCAGGGCTATTAAATGATTATCCATCATTAACGTGATAAACATGCTTCCCTTAGCTGGGTTATTAAATATATAAATCATTCCATTTACAAAAACTCCACCATTGCAGTACCAGCAACAGTTATCTGTGTTAGCTTACACCAAAGCTAGCTTTGTGTTTGGCTGAAAATTTACAAAACATTCATAAGATAAAGATCTTTTAAAGTAAATCTCATCTCTCCTGCTCTGCTCCATTAATAAGAAGCTGTATTTTTGGAGCCGAATGATTGTCTCTCTGATTAAAGCCGGATTTGCCCCTTTTTTTAAACAAAATGTGCCGTATAAAGTGCTAAAATAAAACTAAAACCACAAAGGACTGTAAAAAAAAAACAAAGAAAAAGTAAACTGACGTTATAAAACTGTCTTCAGTGTCACTTTTCATAATATTATTCAGTCGCTTTCATTAAAAGAGGGAGATGAAGAATTAGACTAAAATAAAACTACCCCTTTATACCAGTTCAGAACTCTTACACTTCACCCTCCTTCTCTACAGACTCATTAAAACTGAAGGGTGCACTTTTCCCTCTATTCTCTCTCTCTGTCTACTTACAGTAGCTTCAAAATCTTTATCTTCAAAACCGACTGCCGAACTGCTCAGTGGTTAAGTAACTAGGCTTAAATTGCCAGTTAAAAGTTTGAGGACACTGCCGACTTCTATAATGTTTCATTCTCACTCTTACTTTTCAATTATGTGAGACATAAATCACTGTAAAGGTTTAGTTCGTCATAAAGCAGCTCTGTCCTGACGCTTTGGGCTTTATATGCTTTATACTTATCTTCAGCACTCATGCTTCATGTGGTCTAAAGGTGGTTTAAAGGGCAATTACACTGATTTTTCTAAATTTCTGCATAATTACACGGTTAAGATGTAAAAACTAGTCATTCAGAGCGGTTTGGTGTGAAACGCTCTGTTCTAGAGAAACATAACAGTCAGAACTGTTCACAGTGGTGGTGATAGGAACCAGACGTCCACCTCTAAAAGCTCCCTCACAGAAAGTTCCTACATGAAATGGTTATGAATTCACTGCCTGATGACTGAGACACTGTTTTATGATAGTTTTGAGATGATTTTGGCTCTAAAATGTATTCTTAACCCATTCATGGTGGAGGGATACATGCAGGGTGTTGTGAGGCAAAATAGTCCCCAAAGAAAACCTATTATTTCAGATTTTCCACTATTTTACCAGCAGTATTCGAGTTAAAAACTGTGTAGGTTCACTTGGGCTGTATTTCTGAGTCGTTAAGTTTCTCTACAATAAACCATTTCACATCAAACCTTAAATTTTAATGACCTAAAATTTAGTAAAATGGGTGGAATCTTCCTACAAAGTCACACTGCAAACGTTCATTTATATAAAACAGTTTAAAGAGCTACATGTCCCCAAACTTTTGACTGCCAGTGTATATCAGCTCTAATGGTTCAGAAAGAAGACGAGAGAAACGTCTAGACAGTCTCAGTCTCACTGTAAGTGGTGTCTGGAATTCACCCACTTCCCAAAAATGGTGTTGACTTTTAGGCAAACCTCCTCCGGTGAATGGTAGAGCGCCCCTAGAGGCCTGGAGGACTCCCCCAATCCCGGAAGCCTAAGCCTGAAGCCTCCTGCTGCAGGAAATCTCTGATTTTACTCTCTCAAATGAATAAAAATTCAACAAAAAGGGTGAAAAAGTCTCCAGAAAGTGCCCACGGTGTCCCGACATATACCAACACCAACCAAGATGAGCCAGAGACCGCTCATTAAAACTCCCAGGTGAGCGCTGACATGGGTGAGAGTTTGTGTGGAACAGAGAGAAAAATCATGAGACTCCGCAGGTTTTTGCATAAAGAAGTAAGGGTTTCTTCTCTCGTCTGGGTTTTTGAACACAGGTGGGTGGGTGAGGCACTTTAACTCCGTCTGACGAACACAGGAAGAATACGATCTACGAGGAATCGGGGGCCGGAGGAGAGCTCAGCAGAAAAAGACCGCCCCGTCCGCTGAAGGTCCCGGCACTGCTGCATCCTGGGCTTCTGCAAACAAACACAAACAGAAAACGTTTTAGAGGCGGAACAAACGTCATTAAACTTTGACGAAATAGAAATAAACCTAGGTCATATTAATCCTGTGCTATACTTTAGAAATAATCTGAGGTTATATTTATCCTGTTTTATAAAACGAACCTTAGAAACAATCCCAGGTTATATTAATCCCGTGCTATAAAACAAGCCTTAGAAATATTCCCAAATTATTTTAATCCTGTGCTATAAAAACAAACTGTAGAAATAACCCCAGGTTACATTAATCCTATTCTATAAAAACAAACTGTAGAAATAATCCTAGGTTATATTAATCCTGTGCTATAAAACAAACTGTAGAAATAATCCCAGGTTACATTAATCCTATTCTATAAAAACAAACTGTAGAAATAATCCTAGGTTATATTAATCCTATTCTATAAAAACAAACTGTAGAAATAATCCTAGGTTATATTAATCCTGTGCTATAAAACAAACTGTAGAAATAATCCCAGGTTATATTATTCCTGTGCTATAAAACAAACTGTAGAAATAATCCCAGGTTATATTATTCCTGTGCTATAAAACAAACTGTAGAAATAATCCCAGGTTATATTATTCCTGTGCTATAAAACAAACTGTAGAAATAATCCCAGGTTATATTATTCCTGTGCTATAAAACGAACTGTAGAAATAATCCTAGGTTATATTAATCCTGTTCTATAAATGACCCTAAGAAATAATCTATACCCTAAGAAAAAAGCGATAAAACAAGCCATAGAAATATAAAATTATTAGTAAAATTACTAAATTATTTCTAAAATATTAAATTAAATACTAAATTACTTTAATCCTGTGCTATAAAATATATTTGCGATATATATATATATATATATATATATATATATATATGTTTGTGATTCATATATATATATATATATATATATATATATATATATATATGTTTGTGATTCATATATATATATATATATATATATAATTTTATATGTATAATTCTACAAGGGGGCTACGCACCTAAGATTTTCACTCAGGTTGGACCTGTGTAAATGTGATGTGACAAACGTGATTTGATCTGATTTAGGGCTAAGTGGTAGGGAGGCGAGGGGTGAGTCAGTGTGTTTGCTGTACCCGTGTTCTGGCTCTGCTGGCCTTTGCCTTTCTTCTTCTTCTTCTCCTTCTTCTCCTTGGGTTTGGCGAGCTGCAGCAGGCGGGAGGGGATTTGGCTCTGCGGTTCCGCAGCGCCGCCCTTCTGGCTGGATCCGGAGGAGAACGGGTTCAGGTTCTTGCTCTTGCGTTTGGAGTCCACGCGGGATGGCAGGTCGTGGGCGGACAGAGAGGTGGACAGTTCCGCAGACTCAGCCGGTTCTCCGGAACTCTGCAGCTTCAGAGAGTCCTCGGAGGCGGAGGAGGAAGTGCGCGGCCTCTGCTGGGGCTGATCCTGCTGGAGGAAGAGGAGGAGGAGGAGGAAGAATGAGCCATAACATAAGAACATACGTATCTAACCCTGTGAGCAGACAGCGAGTAAAACATCAGTACACTCAGAAGCGCTTTGAATTTAATGACCGTCAGCAGCGCTAAACACTGAACAGAGGTGTTCAAATTCAAACACCTCTGTCAAATCATAATAAAAGCATTTGTCTCGTTTAGTGTTCATTTATACTCAAATTCATACTTCATACACAAAAAAGTATTTGACTTGGGACACTCAAGAGCAACCACATGGAAACTACACAGGCTGCGTTAAGAGTTAAAGGGGAGTTCCAGGAATTTTCCAAAATTTCAGCATAATTCAATTGAGATGTCAGTCATTCAGAGTGGTTTGGTGTGAAATGGTTCAGATGTCTTTACAGTGGTGGTGATAGGAACCAGGGGTCGCCATGACTACAACACAAATATAGACATTTTATTTACTATCCAGAACCACCAGTGAACCTACACGAGTTCATATGGAATGTTGATGATGGAAAATAGTGGAAAATCTGAAATAAGAAGTTTTCTTTAGGGACTATTTTAAATCACAACACACTGCATGTACCTATTTTGATCGTTCTAATTAAAATTTGAGTTAAAAACTGTAAATCTGACAACTTTTTGCAACTCCATGTACTTTTGACACAACGACCGAAAATCATCATGTTTTTATGTAAATATTGGCGGATTCTGCTACATTAACATTTATAAAATAAAATAATTTAGGACTGAATACAGCTGAATGAGCATTACTGTTAATTAACATTACTGTTATTTTTGTAACATTTGTAAACTAAATGAAGGAAAACTGTAAATTAGATTTTTTGATAAATAAAATCAAATTATCGCTTTAAACATTACACTAAAAATGTCCTGGTCATTGTCTGAGAACATGTATACACCAGTAGTCAACCTATGCATGCGGCAAATTTAAATACGATGAATAAAATCAATCAAATGTAGATACACTTCTACATCTGCAGGGTAACGGCTCTCCTGTGGTTTCACACGGATCTGATAGGTGATCGGCTCCACAGGAGGCTGAGCAAAAGTACTCTGTGTCTGGCTCAGGGGTTTCCATTCACTCTGAGGTTTGGGTTAGATTACGGATTAAGGCCAAAGGATCAAATATGAGTACGAACAATTGCAGAAATGACTGCATTAATCTGTGAGCTACTGCCTTTTAATTTTACGTCACTGTATAACAGTTACATCACTTTTTCAGGACGTGAAAAGGTAGAAGATGCTCTTAACTAATTACTTTCACTGCAGAAACAAGAACAAAATGATCCTTTTGAAGCTCACAGAGTGAAAAAGACGTAGGCTTATAGATCGACTGTAGAACAGACTCAGTTTATATCACAATACCTACATTTAGAGTCAGTTATTCATTCAGTCTAATGAGAAACTGTAGAACAGACTCAGTTTATATCACAATACCTACATTTAGAGTCGGTTATTCATTCAGCCTAATGAGAAACTGTAGAACAGACTCAGTTTATATCACAATACCTACATTTAGAGTCAGTTATTCATTCAGCCTAATGAGAAACTGTAGAACAGACTCAGTTTATATCACAATACCTACATTTAGAGTCGGTTATTCATTCAGCCTAATGAGAAACTGTAGAACAGACTCAGTTTATATCTCAATACCTACATTTAGAGTCGGTTATTCATTCAGCCTAATGAGAAACTGTAGAACAGACTCAGTTTATATCACAATACCTACATTTAGAGTCGGTTATTCATTCAGCCTAATGAGAAACTGTAGAACAGACTCAGTTTATATCACAATACCTACATTTAGAGTCGGTTATTCATTCAGTCTAATGAGAAACTGTAGAACAGACTCAGTTTATATCACAATACCTACATTTAGAGTCAGTTATTCATTCAGCCTAATGAGAAACTGTAGAACAGACTCAGTTTATATCACAATACCTACATTTAGAGTCGGTTATTCATTCAGTCTAATGAGAAACTGTAGAACAGACTCAGTTTATATCACAATACCTACATTTAGAGTCAGTTATTCATTCAGTCTAATGAGAAACTGTAGAACAGAGTGAATTATTAGTAAATAACTAAACAGGAACTAAAATATACATAACTACTGTAGCACTGGGGGTGTGCCTAACCAGAATTATTTACAGTTTTGGTCTTATGTTTCTGTAGTTCTCCTGATAATTTCTTTTAGATTATCACATTAGACACACGGTGATGAGAGGCAACGGTGGAGAACGTGCGTTCATTGTCTGGGATTTGCTGAACTACAAAGTTGAACCGTAAAGTTCAGCTCCTCACTGCTGGTCTTTAGTTACATTTAGGGCATCATATGACTTCAAAGAGGGGGGCAATTATTTATTATCACCCACCCCTAATTCTTCAGTGATATGAAGCTGAAGTCAGATATTCTCCAGATTCTTGTTCGAATTTTCCCGTTCCACCTTAAATGGAGCAGCAGTTACATTCTAGCACTTCAGGCGTCAGAACTGCTCGACTATTTAAGGTGGAACGGGAAATTTAGTTAGCTAGCTACGGAGACATCAGCACTACTAACTACTTTTTATGCTTGTAATGAAGAAAAGGACCATAATGATACACTGACACAACATTAAACTAAGATAATACATTGGTTATCGTAATTATAACAGAGAAGCGTTTTCTTTTCTTTCGTAACTCTCTGTTCGGAGTTTCTGAAAAACCTCCATTTGGAGGGCCATGTAGCCCCAACACTTCGCCCTACCCCTCTATCTCAATGAAGACCGGGACACCCTACATATAAGACGTAAATGTGCAAAACGGAGGGCTACGGGCTAAGTGGTAGGAGCAAGAGGTGAAACAGGATTGGGCCTTAGTCCAGTTAGGATGTTAGTGTAATCTTGTTTTCTCATCTGGAGTAAATGGAAAAGACTAGGAAGTTAGGAACTGTGATAGCTTTTGGTGTAAATTCAGTCCTAACTGAGGTTGTCGTGGTGACTAATAAGACATCAGAACTAGTATGTTTCTGTAATATGACCCCTGGACCGGAAAACAGACTTAAGGGCTGGATTTGAGGCTTTTGGTTTAAGGTTCTGCCTTATCGACGACCAAAACTACAACCGCTACAGATAAACCTGTGGGTCGTGGACGTCAGCCGGGCGCTGGTCCTCACCTCAGCGCTCTGCCGTAGCTGTGAGTGCGTGTACAGCTGCTCCCTCTCTCTCTCCAGCCTCCTCTGACTGTCCCTCAGCCTGGCCAGGTCTCGCTGATACTCCTCCTTTTTGTTCTGCAGTTCGTTCCTCTCCTCGTCCAGCTCCTTGCTCACCCTCGTGTTCTCCTCCTCCAAAGCGTGTACGCGCTCCTCTCTCTGCTGCACCTCCTTCTCCCTCTGCTCCCACTCCCTCTCCCTGCGCCTCCTCTCCTCCGCCTCCTGCCTCTGCCGCTCCGCGCTCCGCTGCTTCTCCTGCTCGATCAGAGACGCCGGCCGTGAGGAAGAGGAGGATGAGGACGACAAGGAGGAGACGGAGGGATGGCGGGAGGTGACCGAGGGACGGTCACTGAGGAGGGCCTGGCGCTGATCCTCGATGAAGGTGTCCTGCTGAACAACCACAGCCTGAGAGAAAGAGAGAGTTGTTATTATTATTAGTTATTATTAGAGTTATTATTCCTTCGGCTATTTCCATCGTTAAATATGTGCAGTAACGAACTGAAACACTGCATTTCTATGCTTTGGTAATATACAGGCTTATAAAGATGTCTGGTGTAGAACTGTGAGAGTACTTTGACTCCCATTCACTGGTCACTTTATTAGAAACACCTATCGTATATGTCCTTTCACTGGCCATTTTAGTCTCTAAGGGTTTCTGATAAAGTGGCCAGCCAGTGTACATATGCAAAAATATAGTGTATTAAATACATAGTGTGTCCAGTTTTTGTGTACACATATATATATATATATATACACATACACACACACACACACACACATATATATACATATATAAAATTTGGGTGGTGGCAGTGACTCTGACGTGGTGGTGGTGTGTTGGTGTGTATTGCGCTGGTGCAAGTGGCTCTCACTGCTGGACTGAGGACCAAACACACCAATCCTGTACGTCCTCACTGGCCAATTTATTAGAAACATTAACCCTTGAGTCCACTGACTAGCCATTTTACAACACCTTGTTCCTGCACAGTTTACTCATCAATGGTCAGTCACAGAATCGTTGTTGTCCAGATATTATTTGGGTGGTGGTCCATTTTCAGCACTGCAGTGACACTGATATTGTAGTGTGTGAGGTGCTGGTATGAGCATATGAGGCACAGCGGCTAACCCCCCCCACTGTACATCAACAGATAGACTACAGTCTCTAGGGGTTTCTGATAAAGTGGCCGGGTAGTGTACATACACATAAAAACTTGTCACTGTTTTGTCACTGCTGGACTGAGAATAGTCCACCAACCAAAAATATCCAGCCAACAGCGTCCTGTGGGCAGCATCCTGTGACCACTGATGAAGGACTAGAGGATGACCGACACAAACTGTGCAGCAGCAGATGAGCTATCGTCTCTGACTTTACATCTACAAGGTGGACTGACAAGGTAGGAGTGTCTAATAGAGTGGACAGTGAGTGGACACAGCGTTTAAAACGTCCAGCAGCACTGCTGTGTCTGATCCACTTGTACCAGCACAACACACACTAACACACCACCACCATGTCAGTGTTACTGCAGTGCTGAGAATGATCCACCAGCCAAATAACACCTGCTCTGTGAGGGTCCTGTGGGGGTCCTGACCACTGAAGAACAGGGTAAAGTATGCAGAGAAACAGATGGACTACAGTCTGTAACTGCAGAACTACAGACTGAAACTATATGGTCAGTGGAGCTGATTAAATGGACAGTGAGTGCAGATACAGGGAGGTGTGTATATATAATACAGTCCAGTAAAAGGTCTATAAACAGTCAGAGTGGACCGGCTTCTAACTGCACTGAAGCCTTAAAGGCTGCGGTCAGATTCTCTGCCTGGAGACAGAACAGAACCAGCTCAGGTGACACAGCCAGCAGGACATAAAGAGTGGTGGGGGGGCTGCAGTGACTCACCTGTAATGTGTTCAAAAGGTCGTGAAGACGAGTGACACTCTGGAGTACCTGCTGAGTGAGAGAGAGAGAGAGAGAGAGAGAGAGAGAGAGAGAGAGAAAAGGGAGAGATAAAAGGAGATTGGAAAGAAAGAAAGAAAAGAAAGAAAAAAGAAAGATGAAAGAGAGAAAGTATTGAAGAGAGGAGAGAGAAAGAAACAGAAGGCGAACAAGAGAAAGAGAGAATAGAGGAAGGAAAGGAAAGAGAGCGAGATGAAGAGAAGAAAGGGAGAGATAAAAAGAGATTGGAAAAGAAAAGAAAAAGAAAGAAAGAAAGAAAAGAAAGAAAGAAATATGAGAGACAGCGAGAACGAAAGTGAGGAAGTATTGAAGAGAGGAGGGAGAAAGAAACAGAAAGCGAATAAGAAAGAGAGTAAATAGGGGAGAGAGAGAAGAAGAGAGAATAGGAGATAGAGGAGAGAGAGGAGGGGAGAGAGAGGAGAGAGAGGAGAGGAGAGAGAGAGAGAGAGAGAGAGTGTGTGAAAGAGAGAAAAGGGCAGAGCGAGAGAGCATTAGAGATCAAACACTCTAAATGTTTTGCAGTGAGGTATTTAATTTCATTCAGTCTGAGTAAACAGATCACGGTGGCGCTGCTCACCACAACACTAACAATAATTCACCTTTAATCTCATCTGTGAGTCTCACACACACACACACACACACACACACACACCAGTGGTCAGATGGTTCTCCTACCTCACTGTTCCTCTTGAGCAGTAGCAGTAGGTTTGCATTGCCCCCCTGTGGAAGAGAGGAGTAATTACACACTCAAACAAAGCTGGTCATTATTTACTCAAACCTCTCACACAGTAAACACCTGCCGGAAACACTGCAGCTCAGAGATCATCACCAGCATCTCGCCTACATCTGGCCTACGATACACCCTTAATCAGCAGGATGTGGGTTATTTTAATGACCGCTTAGAATTTTATGAACTCTGCTCTAATACAGCAGGGACGACTGAAAGAGTCCTGACAGCACAGCACAGCACAGCACAGCACCGGCAACAGAACTAAAACTGTATATTCACTACAAACACTCAGCAGACACATCAGTAACTAAACATACTTACTGTAAAAACTACGCTATACACTACACTTTAAATGAGATTAATGAAAGTATAGACTATATGAACAATAAAGTACATTTTTTAACAATACACCATAAACTACATTCTAAACTATACACTACACTATATACAACTATAGCTATACACTATACCAGAGGTCACTAATAGGTGGACTGCGGTCTGATTCCGGACCCAGACGCTGTCACATGCGGGCCTGCACCTATGGAGAATTATTTAATTTTGACGGGGTGGTCCTATTTTAATCGGCATAGCTTTTCTAGACTTTACGGTACCGGTTTAGCGGCCGGAGACTCACAGACCAATCGCATGCGTTGTAAATATCACGTGATGCTACTCAGCCAATCAGATCTGTATATTCAATGAGCACTGAGACTCGAGTGAGTGACACACACAGGGGAGGGACGAGGCGAGACACAGCAGTCGGAGAAGAAAGTGAGTCAGAGGGAGATTATTTCACATGACGTGATCTAAAAAGAGAAAACTGGCAATAAATGTTGTTGAAATGTTACTGAACTGGACTTTATTTGATTTGACATTCAGTTGTTGACTGTATAAGATGTTGATATACCTACTAGGCTACTTCAGTAAACAGTATATGGCACTGAGTCGTGATGCAAGTTAGACATTATGATGTTCTGGACCTTTGGTCGAGGAAATTTTCTCAAACTGGACCTTACTGAATTTTAATTAAACACCCCTGCACTATACACTTCTCTATAAACACTACTCTATCTCAACTATACACTACACTCTAAACCATACACTACACTATAAACTACACTCTAGACATGATCAACTATACATTCCACTATAAACTACACACTACAACACTCAAAACTACACATTACTCTAAAAACTGCAGACCAAACTACACTATACACTCTAAACTACTCTATAAACTACAGTCTAAACTATACAGTGCTCAATAAACTACAATCTAAACAATACTCTCTAAACTATACACTACTCTATATCAACCATACACTACACTATAAACTATACTCTAGACACTATACTATCAACTATACGTTTTGCTATAAACTACACATAAAAGCGATTTATTACATTATTACACTATGAACTACACTGTGATCTGTGATCATCTACACAAATTATACACTACACTCTAAACCAGACTATGAACTACACAATAAACGACATTAAACTATACATTATAGACTATATCGCTGTTGTCGGAAAAAAACTTTCATCTCCATTTTTGACATAATTTGCAAATAACTGTTACCCTTTACATTGTGTGTAAATTTCATGATGAATGGACTAAAAGAACTGACCGAAAATGACTTGAAAAAAAGTCTGGTTCCTTTGACTTACATTAAAAGTAAAGCATGTTTTTTCCTTCTCCTGTAAAGTTACCATTTTGGAGATACAACGTTTTCTTCCGACAGCAGCCACATGATCAACTACACTATACACTGAAGTACACTATAAAGCAATATGAAACACACTGTTATCTGTACAATAAACTAAACTGGGTCATGTGGCCTCCAGTACACACAGTGCAGCCATAAACACACGCACACACACACACACACACCTTTTTCAGGACGCTGTCTGACTCAGTCCTCCGCAGCTCCGCTGACTCATCCACTTCTTCTCTCTCTCCTTCTGAAGATCAAAGACATGAGTTAACCTCTCACACTCTCTCTCTCTCACACACACACTCCTAGTCTTGCTATACATATGAGGACGTCCATAGGTTTCTACTGATTTTTGTGTTACTGTAGCCAAAAAATACTACACCTAAACCTAACCTTAACCAAAGGTGTCCAAAAGGCAATTTTTCTGCTCTTTTAGTTTTCGAATAAAAAAAACTTAATTGTGGCGAAAACAACACATTTTGCTGATCCTCACTTGAGCAAAAATTTCATATATTCCTATCATAGCGAGGACATGGAGTCCTAACAAGTATAGCAATACAAGAACACACACACACACACACACACACACACACACACACACAACCCCAACACCAGATCTCCAACGCATACAACTGTATGCAAAAGTTTGGGCACCCCTGGCCAAATTATGTATTTAACCGGTCCTAACGAGTCAATTAAGGCCTAACGAGGCATCTCAGTTCTGCAGGCCCCCTAGAGGCCTTTCTGCCTGTGGGATGGAAATCAACTTGTCTGATGTTTTCATTAATCAAATACAAAAGCTTAAAACAATTGAAATTCAACTATTTTTTTTTAATTCTAATTTAATTAAAACATTAAAATACCTCTGATCTTCGAGCTGTTCATCTGGTGGCTGTCGAATCCTCCGAACGTTTCGGCTCTTCGCGGTAAACTCACCGAGCTCACACTCGCGCTCTCCTGCCCCGCACACACCTGCTGCCCCACCGCTCCACACACACTGCCGTTCACCAGCTCCTGCAGCTTCTCCACTGCACACACACCACAAGACATAAATATATATTACAATATGCATTATTATTACTAATATCATGCTCAGTTCATTTTTATTTAATGAGCTCTTCGCGCATGTTGTATTTAAACTCTGCAGGATTTGAGGCCAGGAAAGGGTTACATTCTTAAAACATTCAGAAAATTATCCAATCAGGATTGTTCTCTCTGTGGTATCTGGGTTGTGGCTCCTCAGCAGAATCAGATTTGTAGGTAAAAATAAAATAATCCTCCTTTACAGTAAAATAAAGCTCTGCTGATCGTTCAACATAGTTTAACAATAAATGGTCTTAAACTCTGGAGTTAATGTAGAACTGCTAATTCACCCTTTAACCCTGAAGATCAGCGCAGACTGCTGGTCACCATAGCAACACAGACAACAGTCTCGCCTAGCTAGTAGCTAACGAAACGGCAAAGAGAGAGATTTAAGACGAACATCGATAATTTGGAGATGAATGGACTTCTCAAATGAATGGAATCTCAAACACTAAAAAGTCGTGAAGCTCCCGTTCCACCTTAAATAGTGTGGCAGTTACATTCTGCACCATCTAAGGTGGAAGGGGAAAATTCGAACGAGAAGCTGGTGAGCGAGAAGCGACTTCAGCCTCGTAAAAAAGTCGAACATTGAGAGACATTTTACAAGAAACTGTTCCACTTTTGAGGAAAAGTTTCCTGCTGGAGATGTGAGAAAAGCGGCCACAGCTGTGCTAAATCTTAAAGCAGAGCAAAGTGAGTCTGTGTTTTTGTTTATATTATATTTTTTAGTCTATACTTGAACATCAGCACATACTGAGACAGATCTACAGCTGAGATGGTGAAACGTTACTTAAATAAATGGACATTAAATGTTGTGGCCCCCAAGGTGGTTTGATTTTCGTTGAAAGGACAAAATGGCTCTTTTTAACATTTGGGTTGAGTGACAGAAGAATTCGATGCTGGGAATTTCTAGATACGTCACTGACTGTGAACATGAATCGTAGTCTAAGCAGGTTCTGGTTATTTGCTAGGAATGGAAAACAGCGGCGGCAGCTCTGTGTCAGGACTCTTCACTGAGTCACTGTAACACTGATACATACAGTAATGTCAGTTACAGGCTTCAAATGTCAGTGTTTAATCTAGAACGGCCAAAAATGTTCATATGAATCACTGTTAGCTTTGCGCTAACATACTGTTAGACACTCTATTGGGTCGCTAGTAGCAATTGGCATTATCAAAGACATAGTAGTAAGAACAGTAAAAAGTACACAAAGATGGTTCTTCAAGGGTCTTTTAGTAAAGACAATGGTCCTATTTAGAACCATGAGTTCTATATAGAACCATTTCAGGCTTGGGGGGGCCTTTGCATGGTGAAATGGTTCTTCAGATTGATGGGGAATGTGTTGTACACAGAAGCTTTTTGAAAAGGGTTCTGTATAGCACCAAAAAGGGTTCTTGTATTGTAACAAGCCTGACATCATAACAACAGAAGAACCCTTTTTGGTGCTATATAGAGCAGTACAACACATTCTCCATCAAACTGAAGAACCATTTCATCATGCAGAGACCCACTTAAGCCTGAAATGGTTCTATATAGAACTCGTGGTTCTAAGTAGAACCATTGTCTTTACTAAAGAACCCTTGAAGAACCATCTTTAAGTGTGTTTTGAGTAGTATTTACAGGTAGTGGGAAAGCTGTGTAAATCCATTCATCGAGCTTTCGCTCTCAAGAGTAAGTCAGTTGTAGCCGAAACAGATATTCTCACCTTCCTTCAGAGCGTCTTTGATGATTGGCTCTCCTTTGGTGACCTCATCACTGGTGGCCCTGAACATCATCCTGCTGCGCAGCGCGGCGTCCTCCACAGGCGCGCTCTCACAGAGCTCCCGGAACAAACGCACCTTCTCCTCCAGCAAACACACGATCTGCTCGTCCTTCTTCTGCAGCAGATCTGAGAACAGCATGACACCATTAATAACATTATAACATTAATGACATTAATAACATTAATGACATTAAACACTTACACACGAGAGAAATTATCAGCAGCAAAAATGATTAGATTAGCAAAAGTACATTATTATTTTTATTTGTACTACATTGACAAAAGGTGTTTCTTTTAGGTGTTTCTAATAAAGTGGCCAGTGACTGGAGGTACAAGGCAGATGTTTCTAATAAAGTGGCCAGTTAGTAGAAGAATAAGCTAGGTGTTTCAAGCAAAGTGCGCAGTCATTGGAAGCACAAGGTAGGCGTTTCTAATAAAGTGGCCAGTTATTGGAAGGACAAGGTACGTGTTTCTAATAAAGTGGCCAGTTAGTAGAAGAATAAGCTAGGTGTTTCAAGTAAAGTGGCCAGTTATTGGAAGTACAAGGTGGGTGTTTCTAATAAAGTGGCCAGTGAGTGGAAGCACAAGGTAGGTGTTTCTAATAAAGTGGCCAGAGAGTGGAAGCACGAGGTGGGTGTTTCTAACAAAGTGGCCAGAGAGTGGAAGTACAAGGTAGGTGTATCTAATAAAGTGGCCAGTGAATGTAAGTATGAGGCAGGTGTTTCTAATAAACAACTGGCAGCTGAGTGATTTTATATTAAAAAGACAGTGACTGAGTGATAAAATACATGAAAAGCCGAGTGTAAGTACCTCTCATCTCTTTGGCTTTGATCTCTTGGAGTCTCTTGTCTTCCTCGTTCTCACTTGGGATTCCTTCATCGTCCTCCCTCTCTCTGTAGGACCATCAGAGACGGTCAGAACATCCTCACCGCAAACATCCACTGCTTTTACAGCATTTTCACCAGCATCATAACAATGACAATTCATTACACTCCTATAGTGAAGCTATAAGGTTAGTGTTTCTTATAAAGTGGCCAGGCTGTGTATATGCAAACACCCAACACCTCTGGGTAAATTCTGGAACGCAGTGAGTTCAGTAACTGGGTACTTCAGCTTATTTACTGACCTCAATAGAGAACCCTGAGAACATCACCGAAAAGGGATGTGTCCATTTCCTGATAAATCCATGTGATCATAATGTTGAGATCATGCTGTTTGAGATGAACCTCAAACCTAATGACTCACTGAAAAAAATCAATAAAAGCTCTATGACAGGAAAAAGGACCTCAGCTCAGGTGGGGGAGTCTTTGTGGTGCACGTTATAGTTTTGGTAATAATTGAACTTCAATATTTGGTTAGTAGGCTGTGTTTTAGTTAATATAGCACAGCTTAACGCTGTATAGCGTTGCAGTAGTGCTAATGCTTACAGTTCTAGAGAACACAGAATAAAATATATAAATGCTTATACGATACTAAACCTGATACTAAACACTTAGCAAAGCTCGAATTAAAAATGTGTAGAGTGGCTGTGTGGGCGTGGCTAATGAGCAGCTTGATTGACACTCCTAGCCTGCCCCGCCCCTCCTACAGAAACTAACATCACTATCCCGCTTTTAAGTCACGGATGAACAGACATGCAGACGGATGGATGGATGGATGGATGGATGGATGGATGAACAAACAAAGCAACACGTGAAATGAAAGAACAGATGAACGAACAATGCATATTGCTGTTGGAACAAAACCTCGTATCTCCATTTTTGTCGTTTTCCAGTTTTTGATATAATTTGAAAATACCATTTATTCTTTACATTATGTGTAAATTTCATGAGGAATGGACCAAAAGAATCGACCCAAAATGACTTGGAAAAAAGTCTGGTTCCATTGACTTCCATTAAAAGTAAAGTATGTTTTTTCCTTCTCCTGTAAAGTTACCATTTTGGCGGTTTTCTTCCGACAGCAGCGATATGATAAATGAATGAACTGAAACTGGTTCTGGGCCTGGTCCTAGTCCGGCTCTGCTCGGCTAAAGCTACTCACATGGACTGCATGGCGCCCTGGATGAGCTGGATCCATGTGTTCCTCTCCACTTTGGAGCTGGCGTAAACCTCCACCATCTCCGGCTTGTCCATCCCGACCGTGATGAGGAACAGGCCGCGCTCTTCATTAGCAACTTCCCTCACGATCAGCTTGTGCAGAGAGATCACGGTAGAACGCTGATCCTGCATGGAAACGCAGAGAACACAAAACCTGTCAGTAGTTTGCGAACACTCTGAATTCTTTGGTTTGTAAACAACTAGCTTAACACTCAACCAGAGAACATGTAGAGAGAAAAACTCTCTGAACTAATGTGTTCCGGGTTTCTCAAACACTAGAGGGCGCTCCCGAGCGAGTGCAAAATGAATGGGTTAATATAGTTAAAATAGTATAGAAATGTTTAAACATTTTTAATGTAAAAGAAAACATTTATTTCCTGAACACAGAGCAGCATAAAACATTTTAACACTGCTGTTATATTTTTAAGAGCTTTTAAACTCGAGGTATAGGAGTTTAAAACGGCGCCTCATGTACGTTCATGACATCAGTGAGCACGAACAGCCAATGAGCTGCTCCACTCGCCAACCAATCAGCACTCAGTAGCAGTAATGTCGGCGTCCTGCTGCCCAAAACCCGTTTGCTGTATAAAAAGGAAACAAACAGGTGAGTTTTCTTTGCTTTTTTAGTGAAATCCATCCTTCTACTGTCTAAAATTAAAGGAAAGTTCTGGTTCAGTGATTAGAATCTATTTTAACGTTCTGTTTTCAGCCATTGAGCTCCATTCACCCCCATTCATTAAGGAAACGCTCGTGAGCGCCCTCTGCTGTTTCGCAGTCCTGTATTTGATATAACAGGGGAAATAGGAAGAGGCTCCTCATAAACCAGCTCTGACTCAACTTCACATACATATTGTTTTCCTCAGTTTGAAGAGCAGGTAATGATAAATAATCATCAATAATGATTTGACAGTTTTCCAAACTGTTGTTAAAAACACATATTGACACACTTTTGGCCCAAAGGTGGTTTAAAATACCCAGATCACTGCTGTCGGAACAAAACCTCGTATCTCCATTTTTGTCATTTTTCAGTTTTTGGCATAATTTGAAAATACCTGTTGCTCTTTACGTTATGTGTAAATTTCATGATGAATGGACCAAAAGAAACGACCCGAAATTATATTTAAAAAAGTCTGGTTCCATTAAACTTACATTAAAAATAATTTCCTTCTCCTGTAAAGTTGTCATTTTGGAGATACGAGGTTTTGTTCCAACAGCAGCAACATATTACAGTTTCTTGTATTTTATCTTTTCCCTTGAGGACCACTTACAATGTTTGTACGATCATACGCACCAATAACTGTCATCATTCATTTTTACATGAATGCTTTCCATCCTTTCTTCATCTCTCAGACTTAAACAGGCTGTTACTGCCCCTTTAAGACTGATACATGTAAATGAGCTCTGTTCTGATTGACTGCAATGTATTGTGCCTCATTCAAAAAGCAGAATGGGATGTAACACTGCTTATAACATCAGCATGAAGGGGCGGGGCTAAACTGCTGTAGGCTGAATGCATGCAAGATATTTGCAGATGTTAATATGTTTTTGTGACATCACAGAAACTACGAATTCAAAATGGGCTGTTGCAGTTTAGTTTCCATACACTGACTGTATGTACTGAGGAGTGAATGATATACACCAAACTCTGATATACATCAAACTCTGATATACACCAAACTCTGATATACATCAAACTCTGATATACATCAAACTCTTAGTTCAATAAGTCATGATAACCTTTAAACACTGCAAGGGGTGCTTATTTGACATTACAACAACGGGAGAAAATGTGTGGCTTTATTCCCAAAGTTGCACTGTAACTAATACAGGACGAAAACGTTTACATGATATTGTTTCCTCTAAATATGCCTGATTAGGCTTTAATATGGTAATTTATTGTAAATCGACAAAGAAAACGTCCTCATCTGTATTAAAGGGCAAATATCATGGAAAACTGAACCTCCTTGCTTTCTCAAAATAAGAGTTTCATGTACTACATAAACACTGTTACAGTTTCAAAGCGTGCCGTTCACCCAGTCCACACAGAAACAATGCTGCAGAAACAGCCCGTTTTGGACTCTCTGTTTTTGTGATGTCACAAAAACTACTGCATTTAAATATATCTGCCAATTCAACTGACAACAGTTCAGCCTCACTCATTCATGCTGAAATCATAGACTTTCAGCCTGGGCTGCTTTCTGAATGAGGCCCAGTACAGCGCAGCCCGTCAAAACATAGCTCATTTACATATATCAGTCTTAAAGGCACAGTAACAAAAACAGCCTGTTTAATTCTAAGGGATAAAAAGAGGCTGGAAAACATGCAAAAATTAATAACGACTAAAATGAAACAGTTTTTGGCAAATAAACCAATACAAACCTTATAACAGGACCTCTGGACAAAATAAGCTACTACACAAAATGTAGGATATGGGACTTTTAAAACACTTTAAAAAGCCTGATGTCATCAGACTTTTGATATGCAGCGCATACCACAAGCCATACGTCTCTATTACGCTGTTTCCCTCTGAGACTGATCTCAGGCAGCCCAGCAGTCGCAGCAAACATACCAGAGAGGCGAAAACGTATTTCTGGTCTTTCTCCTGCAGGAACACGAACACGTCGGACAGCAGCAAAGCCTGCACGTCTGCAGAAACACAACACAACAGCAAACTCTGTCATAACGAAATTCAGGCTTCAGGGTGGCTGTTACTGTGTTTAGCTAAGGTATTGTACAACCCTATTTCCAAAAACGTTGGGACACTGTGAAAAATGTAAATAAAAACAAAATGCAATGACGTGCAAATCATGTGAATCATATGTTAAAGGAAAATAGCACAAAGACAACATATCAAATGGTGAAGCTGAGAAATTTCATTGTTTTTTGAAAAATATTTGCCCATTTTGAATTTAATGCCAACAACATGTTCCAAAAAAGTTGGGACGGGGGCCTGTTTACCACTGTTTCATCACCTCTTCTTTTAACAGCACTCTGTAAGCGTTTGGGAACAGAAGCTTACAGGGTTTTGTTACAGAGTCAGATCTTCGCTGAGAAGATCATTAACTCTGATCAGCTCTCAGCTTCATTATTAGAGCGAGACGAAGGAGAAAAAGGTGAGATGAGCTGCTTTTCCACCGTTTACAGGCTTTAACTTCTGTTCGGCGCTGCTGCCATGGTAACGCTGAAAGCACATGAATTTCTATCTGAGCGTCACATTAAGGTTGCATGGCCACGAATTGGATACGTATCCGATCTAGGACCATGTGAAAGTGGCTCAGGTTGGATGTGAAAAGGTCAGATTTGTGTCCACACAGCTCTGAAAAAATCAGATCTGAGTCACATCAGGGCAGAAAATCAGATTTGTGCCACTTCAGCCTGCTAATGTGAACGTAGCCTAAAGAACTCTTGAAGCACCATCTAGACACAGTTGGTAATTGGTTGATGTAACAAGTGGATTTGCATATTCCGTCCCACTCAGCAATCGGATTTTAGTCTGACTAACCGGAGACACATTTGGCCACCAAGTGTAAATGCAAAATCTTAGCAGGATACAATCCAGATACTGGACACATGAAGTGACCAGCTGTAAAGGGGTCTCAGTAACCCATCCATCCCACCTTTCAGTCGTCCAGCTGCATTCTTCAGCTGCAGTGGTCCGTCGTGTACGAGTCTCCGTCCCCTGATGAGGTCCTCTCTGGCGAACATCTGGCCGCTCCTCATCCTCATAATGGACTTGCTGTCCGTGCGACTGTGAATCTCCTTCAGTCTCCGTCTCTTCTCATACTCGCTCACCTTCAAATCCACGGCCGCGATCACCTCCTTCATCTGCTGCAGAGCTTCGGTCATGTCCATCTGCTCCTCCTCCGGATCTGAGGGAACCAGAAACACTTTACTGACCACTTTTATGAGACACTGGTACACACAGACAACAACATGGACTATAAAGAGTGAACAAATACACAGATTTGAACATAATAAAACAGCTACAAAGTTACACCCCACAGAGAGACGACATGTTTCGTTCATTTTCTAAATGAAGTTAAGACATCCTCTACGGGAGGCACACTTAAAGATACTCTAAGTTTGGGGATTTGGAGACCTCTCTGGTGGAAATGTGTAATTGCACGCATTGTGCGAATAAATATTTTGTAGTGTGGGCTGTGCTCTGGCCCCCTTCCCCAAGAGGATGAATCTGCTGATTGAGAGAGAACTCAAAGAGAACTCAGTCTAAACTTGGTGAAGGAGCGTCTCTGAGGATGTGAGTGAATTATCTACTACTGTCATCACATCATCAGTATGATGTTGATTCTGAGATCATTTGAGGCTGAAACATCGAGCCGGACCTTCTTTTAGAGTCTGTGTGTGACTTTAACACGTAAAGACATACGACGTGGTGTGAAAAACTCTCAACCCGACGCCTCTGACTTTCAACCCTCCTCATCTATCATCTGAGGTCAGTTTGACCCAATTCCATGTTTAATGTCTCTAAATAAATAACAATTTTTTTCTGCAAAGAAACAAAGTACCTGACACATAAACTTGGGTAACAATTTTATTAACATCATTTTCTGAAGGTTTAAATTGCTGGGGTCAAACTGAACCCCAGGATGAAGAGGTTAGCAAATTTTAAGATAACAGGAGGGTTAAATGATTAATTCTGGCTTTACAGGGCGACTCGCAGCAGCGCACACACCATATTTTAGCCTTTTTATTCTCACTATAACTATGTATTTCTTTAGTAAATTGTAGTGCACAATTTCTATTTATTTGCAAAGTTTGAAATATTGGGGAAGAAAAACTGTGCCATAACTTTTGCACTTTTGCAATATGTTTAAATTCATTAGACTGTAATTGTGCATTAAAATGTGCAGAAATAAACGTTTCTGAGCCTCAATTTAGCAATATTGGTTTTTAAATCAATCATATAGAAATCCAAGCACCACAGAAGAGCTCGTCCCCACAGTCATGTTTAAAGGCTGAGGCCACATTTTGAGTCAAAATCATGTTTTTCTGCAAGTTTAAATGCAATAATCTATATATGACTATGAAACATATGATTTAAATGACGAAGAAAAAAAATGCCAAATAAATATTATAAAATATATTATGAAAGTTGTCCCCAGGAGTCGTGTCACTGGTGTTACTGAGTAACTAAAAATCTCTTATTTTGAAATAAAAGTCACACTGATGACATCACTCGACTTCCTTTTACCTGTTTTCTGAGGATCTATGAAGAAAAGCTCATGGTGAGTCCACTGTGTCTTTCAGTTATCAGAGATTTTCTCATTTAGCTCATGATTTCATATGAAGCTTTTAGCTGAAGTCACTGGTGTGACCGACTTTATTCTGAGGTAATTGTGAAAAAATAGAATACAAATGAATTAAATTACATATTTTGGTGGATTTTCCATGATTGACATGATTTGATGTTCTGTAGCAGCCATTTAGTAAAATGCATTGTTCATTAAAAATGTCTCTGGTGTTCCTTTATTATGTGTAACACCAATGAGGATCAGTAACACCAGTGACTATGGATTAATAGAATGTAGAATGTAGAATGACCCATCCATATATATATATATATATATATATAGAACAGGCAAACTCCACACAGAAATGACCCTGGTCGCCCGGCCGGGAATCAAACCCAGGCCCTTCTTGCTGTGAGGCGACAGCGCTACCCACCGTGCCGCCCTATTTATTAATAATATAAAGTGATAAATATTCAGACCCTCAGCCCTCCCCTCTCCTCTTCCTGTCATCTGAGCACTATTCACAGGAAACTTTTGGTTCACAGCTGACTGAGTACAGGAGCTGTGAACTGCTGAAGGCAGATCAGCAAGAAGTTTAAAATAGACCCTCATCACAGCTTCAGATATTTTCACAGTCTGGAACTCATGACGATCGTATTTGTGGTTAATAACGAAACCAGTTAATCTCAACATCACTGCAAATCAAGATGCAGATGCTGCTCCTCAGACTGAGCGGAACAGTGTTCAGACGAACTTGCCAGTGCATCTCGCAGTGTCTGCTGCGTTTACCTGACGGTTCAACCAGCTGCAGTTTAACTGCATCGATTTTGTAATGTTGGGCTCTATATTAACTGATAATATTCAATAACGTATTGAAAAAAGCTGTATTTTTATTGTTTATATTACACAATGATATAAATAGTCCAAATTCTGTTTTCATTCCAAAATACTGTATTTATAACAAATTTGGAAACAATACGTTTTTTGAAAATAACAACAGCTGATGTGTAACAGAAAACACATTTAATTACTTTAATAAAGGTGCTATGAATTATAACACTAAAATTCTTTGTATTGTAAACAATCATGGAAAAAATCAACCTAAATGAAAATGTCTATAGTGCACTTCGCAATAAAACTCTGTGCAAAAGTTTTGTGTTGTTGATTTTCTAAGTGTAAATAAGTTACACATCCTCGACAGAGACACTTCTGCACATTTTAATACACAATGACTGTTTATTTGCTATATATTGGAGAAAAATGATGTATTTTTAAGTAAGGCCCACTCAAAGTTGGGCCCACTTTAATGCTTTTTCTACAATCAGAATGAAAAGTCGACCAAACTCTGATTATTACTCAGCTCAGCGGTTTTCTAAACCCTGCCGAGCGACGCTCTGATGCTTCGGCTTGTTTCTCACGTGAGGCCGTATCCGTTTTGTCTGTGTGAAGCCTACATGCAACAAAAGATTATCATATAAATCAGTACACCCACTAACACCCGACCACCATCACCCCCGCCGCCACACACACAGGCTGCTAAGATTACTGTTTAGGCCAGTACATTTATGACATTTACGTTAAGTATGAAAAACCGTTGTGATTCATTCTTGCATGACATTTTTTAAACCTTTGTATTAAAGACACTACTGAAACGCTCCTTATAACTTCAGTGTGAGTTGGTGGGACTAAACAGTTACAGGCTGGATTGGTGAGGTCAGCTTATTTTCCATAAATGGACTGGCATGTTTTAAACTTTAACAACGTTCACATATTATGTAGAACTCATAACCCATAATTACTGCCCAGAGTTTATGGAGAATCAGCAAGATTTTCAGTATCCCATATGTGTGTGTATATGTATATATATATATATATATATATATATATATATATATATATATATATACACACACATACACACACACACACACACACACACACATATAGTTGTTGTTGGAACAAAACCCTTTACATTGTATGTAAATTTCATGATGACTGAATTAAAAGAAACGACCTAAAATGACTTGGAAAAGATTCTGGTAAAAGTTACCATTTTGTAGATACGAGGTTTTCCAACAGCAGCGATATATATATGTATATATACACACATCCAAGACTGGAGGAAAAACAGGGTTGATGCCTGTTCCTCACTGCTTTACTGAATCATTACGAGGCTGGAGTTTTACCTTTGGTGTGCTGGAGGATCCTCTGCAGCAACACTGGGTATTTGGTGATGCGCTGGGTCACTAACAGGACACACTCAGGGATACTCAGCCTCCGGACAACAGGGTTGCTCATCATTTTCTAAGAGAAGAGAATAAATGTGATAATAACCAGATGAGTCTGAGAGAGTGGACGGCCCAGTGATGTTCTGACTGAAGCCACTAAACGGCTCAACTACGGAATTAATTCAACCCTCTGAGGTCCCCCCATACGGCATATATGACTCGAAACACTGTGCTGCATTGTTGCTGACTCATTGCTCGTCGAAACAAGTGGAGAAACTGTGAGGAAAGTGCTCGCAGTGGTGTCTGTTACCCTGATGACGGCCTGAAAGCGTTTGTCTTTGGCGTGAAACTCCTTGTACAGGTTTACAGCCTCGTTGTGGCGGCTGCAGAACTTTCCATACACTTTCGTCATCCTTTCTGCATTAAAGCCCGTAACCTGAAACGAAACACAACAGAGCCAGCTGGTAACTAAGGACGTCCTGATCTGAGCTTAAGAGCTTATTTTAATGAATACACATGAATCTTGAAACAAATCCTTGGACTGCCAGCAGAAGAAGACAACTTCAAGAGAAACATTAGATACACAGTACTACGCAAAAGTTTAAGTAACCTGAGAAAAGTGGATTAAAAGGTGCTGATCTGGGCAGACAGTGTTTAATTCTTGTTACTTTTTACTGTAATTATGTTTATTTACATCTATTCTAATGATACACACTCACTGCTGAGACAAATGGTTTAAATAATACGCTTACGTGCCCAAAACTTCAGCCTAGCACTGTACACTGACTAGATTTAAGATTTTCACCTTCCAAGATATAATTTTTCCTATGTATTGATGTAAAATGTGGCTATTTCAGTCGTTTTATCTTCTCCTTTAAAAACATGATTTCTCAGCACTGTTGTGGCAAAACTTTACAGATTTTTATGTAGTTTAGTTTACAAATGACACAGGAAAATAAGTCACACATCATTCACACTTTATCGTTATTGTGATTAAACAAATCAATAATAAGATCCAAATTGCACTCTGAATGTTCGCTTGGGGGAAAAAAATATCGCAGCCCATCCAGCAAGAATGGAAGCATCTTTTATGCAGTGATAGGAAACACAGTAGCTCCATTTCTACAGTTCTACATTCAGTTTGAGGGGTCATATTCTCAGAGTGAGACGCTCGGTTTGACAGTCTTAAAGGACTCTGATCAGGACTGGAGCAGATAAACGTGAGACCGCCCTAATCAGTCTTGTTTTCTACATGCTTAGTGTCGAACCCCACCTGGTCCAGCAGCACGTGTCCGATCCTGCGGATGGTGTAGCCTCCCTCGTCTGCGCTCTTGGCCTGCGCCATCCTCTTCCGCTCCAGCAGGCGTGTGAGGAAGAGTGTGTGCAGGTCCAGGAGCTCATCCAGCATGGGGAACATCTTCTCCATCATCTCAGGCCCCAGCTGCACCTCCTTCAGCAGACCTTTACTGTAAACATCAGCCATGATGCGAAGAGTCCGCACGTGGTGCATCTCCGTCTGGATCAACTCTGGGGACGTGAGATTTATTAGTGCTCTGAGTTTTCGGTCATGTTTTGTTTCCTGACATTTTTGTTTCTCCCATTTTAATTTCTACTAAACTTATTTTTCTTTATAAGTTTTTAAACGCTTTCAACTGGCTGGCACAAACAAAGCGTGCGCCTCGCAGGTTCTGAGGAAGCTTTAAAGCCCTCCTGCTTACCGTAGATGACGTCCTGCCTCTTGATCACGTCTTTCTTGAGTTGCTTTAGATATTTCCTGTCTACAGTTAAGCTCCAGGAATCAGCCTCCAGCTCCTTTGCATCCGCTTCAAAGTCTCCCATCAGCTGACCATCCATCAGCTCTGCACCTGCAGGGGGCAGAGTGGAGCAGCGGTCAGACTCTACCGCTGATGGCCAGGGCCTTCATTAGTAAGTGTGGGGCCAGTTACTGGAAGCACAAGGCAGGTTTCTAATAAAGTGGCCAGTTAGTGGAAGCACAAGGCAGGTTTCTAATAAAGTCGCCAGTGAGTGGAAGCACAAGGTGGGTGTTTCCAATAAAGTGGCCAGTGAGTAGAAGCACAAGGTGGGTGTTTCTAATAAAGTGGCCAGTGAGTGGAAGCACAAGGCAGGTTTCTAATAAAGTGGCCAGTGAGTGGAAGCACAAGGCAGGTTTCTAATAAAGTGGCCAGAGAGTGTTTGTGTGCTTTAGCCTCAGTTTTAATCAAGCTCTTCAACTTGTTTTCAAATACATGAAGAGCTTAACAAGGTAAAAATAACAACGAAACCAATAAAATACAAAGTCTTAGATGCTCTCATAAAGGAAGCACAAACACCATAAAAACACTCTCGGTGTGGACATTGCCCTTTAGCACAGATGCAGCAGGATCAGCCACCTCCACCCAGAACCTGCTGATAACCCTATCATATCAACAGCTTAGAATCAGTGGTTTCAATAAGATAAACCAGTTAGGTTACAGAAACATGTGTACAGTGATTATAATAGGCTCATCCTGTGCAGCGATACAGGTTCCAAACAACTGGGAAAAACTAAAAGCTTGTTTAAAAAACAAATAAATAAAAAAAACACACTGAGGTGTTAAATGTGTCTACAAAGCTGTGCCAAAATAATTTATATGAATTTAATGTTTAGAATTCCTCGCATTTCAGAAGTGCTCCTCAAATCTTGGTGCAGACAATTTCACAATAAATACACTCATAAAAAAAGTTCTTCGAGGGTTCTTTAGTGAGGAAAATAGTTCTGTATAGAACCATCAGCACTCAAAGAACCATTTGCACGATTAAATGGTTCTCTGCATGGTGAAATGGTTCTTCAGATTGATGGAGAATGTGTTATAAATGGTTCTATAGAGCACCAAAAAGGGCTCTGCTATTGTGTCAAGCTTGTCACAACAGAACAACCCTTTTGGTGCTATTTAGAACACCATTCAAAAAGGTTCTATATCTATATACAACACATTCTCCATCAATCTGAAGAACAATTTCACCATGCAGAGAACCATTTCATCACGCAAATGTTACTTTGAGTGTTCATGGTTCTATGTAGAATAGCTGTCTTTTACTAAAGAACCCCTGGATTACTGTTTTTTAAAGTGTGTACTGTTCATGAAATATTACAGGTGATATATTCGCCATTTTATACATTAATATAGCAGCGAACAACTATTTTCTTTGTAAGGACACAGTGGACTAACGGCGTGATGAGCAGACAGTTAAGTCACTCCCCCTCCGAGTGTGTGTGCTGTAATCCGAGCTTCTCTGGGTTTTGTTTTCATAGCCGGTCCGGCCGCACGTGCATGTTAGTCCCGCCCTGTGTAAACGTCAGCCCTCCCGACATTTTGTTTTGCCCTTCGCAGACAGTGACCACCCACACAGTGTGCGTGCACAATTTAAGGCGGAACGGGAAAATTTGAACGAGAAGGTGGCAACAAAGAAGCGACTTCAGCTTCACTGAGAGTTGAAATGCTTGAAAAGGGATGAGGAGGTCGCTCCTGCTGGACAGGTGGGCAACATTAACTCATTTCTGTTGTTTCACAGAAACAATCAGCCAGTATTGTTATGTTTATGTTAGCAACTGGTCAGCTTCACTAATGCTAACAACTGTCCGCAGCGACAGTTTGCTAACCCACAACCTAGCTAACATTACTTGCTGTGTGGTTGTTCACTCTAACGTTATGTCATGGTATTTGTGTGTACAACATTTGCAAAGGGTTTTATGCCCACAAAGATCTAAAAAGGCGTGTTGGCCTGGACAATGCACATCCATGAGTTTGGGGGGCGGAGCTTCTGAAGGGAAGGATGTGTTTGTTTTGCTGTTGAGTTCAAATAGCAACAATCGTTCTCCAGAATCATATAATTGCCCATTAATATCATTTAATAACTTATTCTTGTCCTCAAAATACTGAATAAATATTGAATAAAACATCTAAACTTTACACACTATATTAAAATATGTAAATCCACACTGTAAAATAATACGAATGAATAAAGTGGTAACTGGTTCTAAGCTGGTAACAGATCAGCTCTCAGACGAGTCACTGTGGAACACAGCTCACCTTCGTCCGTGAGCGACTCTGTGGACTCGTTCACTCTGCTGATCTTGTGCAGAGAGTCGGTGGACTGAGACAGAAACTTCAGGGGTTTGAGCGGCGTGTCGTCCATTTGCCTGGAAGGACGAGAGAACATCAGTGAGGAACTTCAGCCTCAATCTCTCTCCGTCAGTGCAGCTCAGAGTGCTTTACTGGTGTAACCAGCATCTTTATTCATTACTAAAGCTGGGCTTACAAAGTTTAGAAACACCAAAGAATAATAAAATACTAAAAATGAACAAAAAATTTCATGATGGACGAACCAATAGAAGTGCTCCAAAATTATCTGCAACAAAATGTGTATGTAATATATATATTTGTGTGTATATATATATATATATATATATATACACACAAATATATATATTACATATACATATACATTATATATTATCATCGATGTCCAAAGAAAAACAAGTATCTCCAAAATAGTGACTTTACAGAAGAGGGCAAAACACTTTTGCCTCTCAATGTAAGTTAATGTAAAGAGATTTTAATCAAAGTGATTTTAAAGCATTTCTATAGGTCCATTCACCATTAAATGTTCACACAACATTCAGTAAAAAATTATCTAGAATTTCTCTCACAATTTTTTTTCCCCACATTGAGTAAAAAATTTCATGGTGAACATACCAATAAAAAATCATCCAAAATGACTTCAAACAAAATGTCTTTACATTAACTTGCTAAGTTAAAAACATATTTGTTTTTATATATATGATTTAGTATAGATTTATTGATATTTTTAGAGCTGTACAAATGAGAATTGAGTTTTAAATACTGGAAAACTGCAACTAGACAAAAGAAAAATAAATTTAAAAAATTAAATAAATAAATACATACATAAATAAATCTGCTTGTTTTTCCACACTAGGCTAACTGAATGTTAATCATACTTTCTATTATTAACCCTTTGTATAACTCCCTATTCTTCCATATTTTTCAGTAATAGCATATCTGTGTTCATTATCAAAGCTTGGTTTACAAAGTTAAGAAACATTGAAGAATAATAATTTTGTAAAAAAAATTAAAATAAAAAATTAAAAAAATAAAAAAGAGTACGATTGAAAATGAACAGACCAATAGAAGTACACCAAAATTACTTGGAGCAAAATGTCTTCACACCAGCTTGCTGCCTTAAGAACATATTTATTTTTTTATATATTATAATTTTGTACAGACTTTTCTGATTTTTTGGAGCTGTAAATGCTGGATTGCAGCTAGACAAAGAAAAAAAAAGCAAGCTAGCTGAATATTAATCATACTTTCTTACTCCTTCCTCTCTGTTTACTCCCCGTTTTCCATTCGCTTGTAAGGACAAAACACAAATCAGACCAGAGATATTAAAATGAGTGGAAATAAATGGGGTTAAAATGCTGCAACATAGAAGGAGAAGGTGCAACACTGAGCATTAGCATTAACATGTACCCTGCGATGTTGCTGATGGAGATGCTCTTGGACAGAGTGTTGCTGTTGAAGGCCATGATTCCGGGACTTTTCCGCTGCGGCGGGACGGGAGGAGGCGGCATCTGGTCATCGGGAATCATCATGGTGGACCAAGGACGCTCCCGCGCCGTCGCAGCTTAACACAGCAAAGAGCAATGTAGCGTATGAGCTCTTTAATGTTACATTAACAGAGACTTTTTTCTTCTCTTATGAAGTTTTTACTGCAGAGATACAAGGTTTTTACTACGGCAGCACCGGCGTGGAGCACTCACAGCTAATAAACTCATATTTAGAATTTAAAAATATACATACGACACAATATACAGACTTAGACAGTCAAAAACCTACATTTGGTTCTCATGGCGACTGCATGAGCTGAAGCTGAATCAGGAACAGTTTGCTGCTGCTGCTGGGAAGAAAAATAAAGTCAGAAATCATGCATTCAATTCAATCCAACACCGGAATAACAAACAAACTCAAAGAGACGCGCTCATGTTTACAAACACAGTAAACAGTGCAGTGACTCGCCTTCATCTTCACTTTGGCACACGCAGGGAGTCCCTCTTTACAGCCCTTGTGGACATGAGCACTGCAGTCTGAAAGCACAGCCACAAAAAAAATCACTTCATAAACACAAATCTGCACAGATCAGATGATCAGACTCCCTCCTGATCTGAGCCACCGCAGACCGAAACGGTCCCGTCATGTGACCACAGGAAGTCACAGCCTTTGTCCTTTGGATGTTTATAGCAAGAACAATAAAATGAGCATAAAAAACCCCATAAAACCGATCTGGTCAGAGTCGGTGAGGAGGAGCCTGTTTATCCTGTGATCAGCGGTAGCCGAACACCTACAGCGCTGAATCAGACGGAATCGTTTAGGGTCCTAAATTAACACAGCTCTGTTTTCCAGTCTGTTCAATGCAGCTTCGGTTTCTCGCTGAATATTTCATCGTTGTCAAAAAATAAATAAATAAATATAAAAAAATAATAATTTTTCTGCCTCCTTTTTAACATGGCAGCTCTTCTTTATGATGTCTGAAGAATTCATCATGAATGGACCAATAGAAATGCTCCAAAATGACCCTCAATACATTCTTGTTACACAAAGTTAGGAAGGTTTTTGTTCCCTCCTGTGAAGTTATTATTTTAGAGATTCACATTTATTGGACAGTGAGTGTGTTTACCTGCACTCAATCTGATCATAATCGGATTTCTGCAGTTATCAGATTTAATTATTCAAATGGTAATGTAAAAACATACTCCAATCTAGAAATCTGATTAAGAAATCTGATAAAGGCTGGATTTTAGCTCATCGGATTTCTCAGTGCATGTGAACTCTCACTCTGATTTCTTTCTGATTTCTCAGTCTGGGCATGTGCGAAAACAGACGAGATGCAGCAAAACACTTTTGGAGTGGCGCTGAATCCAAATACATGCTTGATGAAATGACAGATTTTAATATTCTTCATCTTCTAGATGATGTCTGTTCATATTTTCAGGTAAAGTGGCGCGATGTTTTTAAAAAAAACTCAGTTCTATGTTACATTTTACGTTACGTTTACGTCTCGTCTACTTCTGTGGGTTTATTGGCTGGTTGTAAAGCAGAAATCTGATTACTGTCTGACTCATGCAGACCCGGAGTTTCCCATCTGATTACCCAAGTGCATGTTAACACATTGATCTGATTACTGGCAAAATCTGATTTTCTGCAGTTATCAGATTATTAAGTGTATGTAAACACACTCAATGACAATTCGTTAGTCATCCTGTAATGTAGGTCTTTGCAATACTGACATCAGACAACACTGCAACATGCAAATGAGCCCACTAACCAATCTCAGTGTATTTTATGGAATTTAGAGTTTTTTTGTTTTTTTTCCCCTAATTTTTCATTTTGTAAGTGTGAGTGTTCTGCACTCCAATCCATTATCCAAAACTCCAGTCCTGGATTTACCTCATTTACAGGATTTTACATCACAACAGGATGACTATGAGGTGACCTATACATTGATGAATATTAGAGGTGGGCATATGATGATATTTTATCATCATCGTGATAAATCATGTCACAATGCGCTTTCCTGAGCATATTGTCAAATTGTCAGTTTGTCAAATACTGAATAAAAGTCATTATCGATGTAGGATTATTATTATTATTATTATTATTATTATATTTTTATATGTGGCTATACAAGTTATAGTCTCTTTGTTCCAACTTATTAAATCTTACAAAAACTAAATATTATGATGCTTATTGTGTAAAAGTCCTGAAGTATCGTGATAATATTTTTCCAGTATCGCTCACCCCTAATGAATACTACTTTTGCAGTACATTTTTGAAAGGTTAGCTCCGCCCATTTACACCAAAGTTATTCCAAATGAGGCTCAGTACAGGGCAGCCAATCAGAATAGAGCTCAGGGGGAAAAATAAAAAATAAAAAAACAAGAAAAATGTAGGATATCAGCCCTTTAATGTGCTTCACGCTACACAAAAGCATGCACACACACACACACACACACACACACACACACACACACACACAGCTCAGAACAGCAAAACACACCCAGAGTTCACTCAGACCCACAGATATACTAACAGCTCAGCTCCCAGCTCTGCACGCAACACCAAATAACATCAATCAGACCCTCCACACCTCCACCACCAACACACCGCTCCACCACGGGACCAGAACAATGTGTGTTTGTGCTGCTGCCCCCGGAACGGCTGCAGGGGGACGTCAATTAAGGGGGTGTGACGAGGGAGCGGTGTTAAAGAGCTGCTCTCATCACAGAAACACAATCAAACATGTGCGTCAGAACATTGACCTACATTTCTATACTCATCTTCAACAACTATACGTACATCACTCACAGCTCTAAAATGGTGAAGTGGAAAAGTGGAAATCTTTAGGGCGGCCACTAACGGCTATTTTTCTATGGATTAATCTATCGACTATCTTATTGATAGATTAAAGTCTGAATGTTCCTATCGGCCCATTCAACAAGAGATTTAAATGCTAAGGGAAATTAGCAAAGCTAATAAAAAAAAACAAAAACAGACACATAAAGACAATATTAAATATATACCACTGTCAGAACAACAGCTGGTATATTTATTGCACAAAAATGATATCTGTCTGTTTATTCATCGACCTGTCTGTCAATCTGTGTATCTATTACTGTTAGACAGACAGCAAAAAAGATAAGTAGACAGGTAGACACTTATAGACACACAGACAGACAGAGAGTCAGATAGACTGACAAAGAGAGAGAGAGAGAGAGAGAGAGAGAGAGAGAGAGACAGACAGACAGACAGAGAGACAGACAGAGAGAGAGAAGGAAAGAGAGAGGAAGAGAAAGAAAGAAAATAATAGAGAAAGAGAGAAAGAAAGTGAAAGAGAGAGAAAGAAAGGGGGAGAATAAAGAAAATGATAGAGAGAAACAAAAAGTGAAAAAAGAAAGAAAAAAGAAAGAGAGAGAGAGGGGAAGAAGATAAAGAAAATGATAGAGAGAAAGAAAGAGAGAGTGAGAGAGAGAAAGAGGAAGGGAAGACATGGACAGAGTTTAAGAGACTGAAAGAAGAAGCAGAGAAAATGAGCGATAAAAAAACAAAAATAAATAAATAAATAAATAAAGAACAAAGGAGTGTTTGTTAGTGTTCTGTGGTGCACCGGCTGTGTGTGTATGTGTGTGTGTGTGTGTGTGTGTGTGTGTGTGTGCGCGCGGAGTGATGCAATGCTGTGTAACACTGTCTGAGTGGGCTGAACACACAGCTGCTGTCCACCACTCACTCACTAAATCACTCGCTCCAAAACCACCAGTGAACCTACACGAGTCTTCTGAGTTTATATGGAATGTTGATGATGGAAAATAGTGGAAAATCTGAAATAATAAGTTTTCACTGGGGACTATTTTGCCTCACAACACCCTGCATGTATCCCTCCACCATGAATAGATTTAAAAAGTGCATTTTAGTCCCCAAAATCTTCTCTAAACTATCATAAAACAGCGTCTTAGTCATCAGTCAGTGAATTCATAACCATTTCATGTAGGAACTTTCTGTGTGGGAGCTTTTAGAGGTGGACGTCTGGTTCCTATCACCACCAGTGTGAACAGTTCTGACTCGGCAAGTTTCTCTAGAATGAAGCGTTTCACACCAAACCACTCTGAATGACTGTTTGCATTGTAATCATTTAATAATGCAGAAAATCTTTGAAAAATTGGTGGAATTCCCCTTTAAGCCCAGCTTAAGATTCAGTCTGATGTCTGAATCTGCTCACATACAAACTGACGGCAGCTCTTTCTAAACGTTTGCGCAGAATCACTTGAGCATCACTTACAGCGTAAGAAGAGCCGTATTTTAATGTTGTGCAAGGCTGAAAATGTATTATTGTTATTAAACCCATTTCCTGCGGAGCCTGTACGTTTGGAGCGAGTGATCTCAGACTAAAGGGGCGTCTGCAGTATTTAAATCGCCGCAGAAATGCATGACTGCACAGGGAAAAGGGAAGTTCCCCAAAGAAGTCACCAATCAGGTGCAGGACAGATGATCTCAGACTCGCTTCTGAAACCGCCTGGGAAAAGCTTTGTGAGACAACCTGATTCAACCCGAAAAAACGATACTGGTGCCAGTTAGGGCTGATTGTAGCGGAATGATATAAGTGATACCCAGTCTCATTACGTTCCTAAAGGGGAATTCCAGCAACATTTCAAAAATACTGCATAATTAGATGGTTTAAAATGTAAACAGAGTCATTCAGAGTGGTTTGGTGTGAAACGCTCCACTCTAGAGAAACTTACCGAGTCAGAACTGTTCACAGTGGTGGTGATAGGAACCAGACGTCCACCTCTAAAAGCTCCCTCACAGAAAGTTCCTACATGAAATTCTAACAAATATATAATGCCGTTTGAAGATTAGTTTTGATAAGGTAAAATGTATTTTTAAAATCTGTTAATAGTGGAGGGTGCACACAGGGTGTTGTGATGTGAAATAGAAGAGTGCAGCCAAAAGGGTGTTTATAATAATAATATATAATAGTTTATATATACACATACACATATATGTAGATACACACACATACACACACACACATATATATATATATCACTGCTGTCGGAACAAAACCTCGTATCTCCATTTATGTCGTTTTTCAGTTTTTGACATAATTTGAAAATGCCTGTGGCCCTTTATACTGTGTGTAAATTTCATGATGAATGGACCAAAAGAAACGACCCAAAATCACTTGGAAAAAAGTCTGGTTCCATTGACTTACATTAAAAGTAGAGTATGTTTTTTCCCTTTCCTGTAAAGTTCTCATTTTGGAGATACGAGGTTTTGTTCCGACGACAGCGAGATGTATATATGTACTTATATATTAATGATGATTAATATAAGAAACAGCTAACAGCTGCTGAATATCCATATCAATCTCCCATATGGACTTTTCTGTACCCATGACTGACCAACAACAATGACATTATTAAATATGACACTCATGGCTGCCCTGATTGATACTTATACTGAACATTAACTGGTAAATAAGCACTGCTTCTACTTGTAAATCTGTTGTTTACTGCTATTCGATTGATTGGCTGCCCTGTATTGCGCCCTCACTCCAAAAGCAGTCCACACTGAAACGCTCCTAATGACTTCATTGTAAACGGGGGCGGGGCTAATCTGCTGTAGGCATGACATCACAAAAACAAATCATAGACTATATAGACTGGGCATGTTTTGAAACTTTACCGACTTTTACACACTACATCAAACTGTTTAATGAAAAAAAAAAATGGGGGAAAAATTTGTGACCACGCAAAAAGAGCGAGAGAGAAAGGAGAGAAAGGAAGATGTTGGAGAGAGAGAGAGAGAGAGAGAGAGAGAGAGAGAGAGAGAGAGAGAGAGAGAGAGAGAGACGGGTATGTGTTCATACTTGTGCACTGCAGGGCGTCTTTAGTGTTGATAGGTTTGCTGCACTGCAGGCAGGGGCTAGGGGGCGCTGTAGAGACGGAGCTGAACAGATGGCCACCGGAGCTCCTCTTCTCCTTCTCTTTCCCATCCTTACTCTTCTCTCGGTCCTTTTCCTGCACACAAACATAAAAAAAACCAACATGTAAACAAATCACTCCTCCACTCACAGGCCTGTCACGCTTATCAGCCTCTCATCTCCACAATCGTGTGTTTACACTGCAATATAAACTGAATGTGAATTAGGTAAAATTTGCTTGTTTAGTTCTGCACTGGAGCTACGAGGCCATCAACTAACGCAAGTTTATTACCTCTCTAATAAAGCAATGAGCCACGAGAGGCTGCGCGTTACTGCGATTTTAGCACAGTTAAGGGTGTTGTTAGGCACGATGTGGAGTAAAACTCCCTTCCCTGTGATAAAATCTCAGTAACACAGCCTCAAGTGGCTTATTGCTTTTATAAAACGACAGCCAGCATTAAATATGATAAAATACACCATTTTTCAGAAAATAATTCAAGTTATTATTAATAATAATCAACATAAATAAGTATTCCACCAAGAAATGTAGTTCCTTTAGAGTATGGTATCGCTGCTAAGCAACCATGGACCACTGAATGAGGAGAACGTTCGGTCACCCATTGCTGTATGTTCCGGTCATTTCATGAATTTTTTTAACTTTTTGATGTATAACAATGAATGTATGATAACACAGCACTGTTTAATGTAAAAGTTCGCTTTGTAAGCACTTTTTGGTCACCAAATCACCACTGTGTCATATTTAGCACCAATTCAGCGGCGCCCTCTTCTCACACTGGGGCTGAATCTCAAATGGCTCCCTGCTCCCTACATAGTGCACTACATAGGAGTTTAAATACTGGATTCTGCAGCCCAACAGAGCAAGATACAGCTAGGAAATAGTCATTTGAGACACATCCACACTGGATCAATGATGCACTGTTTGGCTGTAGAGGCTAGAATTTCTAGACTCATAGCTAGAACACTATTTAGGGAGTACAGAGCCGTTTGGGATTCAGTCTGGGTTTAAGATTTGAAGTGTGTAGAACATTCAAGAGACATTTTTAGACTTTTATACTGCTGTTTTACAGTTAATCACACCGTAAATACTTTAATTCAAGCCTGTGGGGGGGGGTGGAAAACAAACTTTTTTGCTTTGGGGAAAAAAAAAATCCTTTATATGCATTAGGGATGAACAATACTCCAAAAACATTCCAATACTTCACGACATTCATTATTTATGATAAACAGTGCAATAGGAGTGTAAAAAAATTAACTATTCAGGAAAAAAGTTGGTTGGAAATTCAAATAATTATTTAAATTGTCCATGCAGTTGTTCTAGAAGTACGATAAACACCCATAATACACTCAGAAACGTGTACTGTGACATAATGTGTCATGATAAATGTAATATATTGTCACTCTGCTCAGCCTGAAAGGCATCTTCACTATTAATATTTGTCTTAGTAACAAATTTCATTAATTTAAGCATAAAACTTTAGATCAGCTGCAAGATATTCTTCAGAATAACACAGAATTACATTAACCCCACCACAAAAACTAAATTCAGCTAAGAGAAGTTTACACTTAGCTCATTTTGACTAGTGTAGGGACTCCTTATGAGTCATTCTACAGAAACGTGCATTTTTGTGTCCCTAGCGTTTACAGATATATTACACTTGAAAAACATATTTGGGTGACAATTTATTTATATTTTATAATAACTTTCAGTTATCAGAGATTTTCTTATTTAGCTCATGATTTCATATGAAGCTTTTAGCTGAAGTCACTGGTGTGACCGACTTTATTCTGAGGTAATTGTGAAAAAATACAATACAAATCGATTAAATTCCATATTTTAGTGGATATTCCATGATTGACAACATGTGTAAAATGCACTGTTCATTAAAAATGTCTCTGGTGTTTCCCTTTATTATGTGGAACACCAATGAGGATCAGTAACACCAGTGACTCATATGGACAGACAGAAAAGTGGACGTTTCTGTAGAATGACCCACTACAGCACAATATGCCACGTTCTGCAGAAGACTGTGCAGCCTGTTGTGTTTTTGTGCTGAACTGTTGAGAAATCGCTCAGACGCCTTCGGCCTTAGAGCCAGAGAGTCAGTGCAGAGCCAGAATTACACAATCGTGTTTAGTCTCAACTCTCACAACACTCCCACAGACAAACAGAGGAAGGACACACTGACAAAAACACAGCATTAACAAAAAAAAAGGTAGCAGTGTAGCAGCTGCTCAGCCAAGAGGAAACACGTCTGACAGAGACAAATAAAGACCACATTTACACAAACTGAAGCAGCACAGCAGCAATAAAATGTGCCAGGAACTGTTTTTTTTCTTACATAAGCCTTTTGCATCATATAAGATCATTTTCTATTATATATTTAGTGACAACTCCCTCCTTACAGCAGCCCTCGGCCTTAATAACCACTTTAAATACCAGAACATTCAGTTTTATGGGCTTCAGGCTTGAAACGCTTCAGCTTTCTTCTAACACATTTACCCAACATTCATATTAAATTTGGAATAAAATTTAAAATTTAACTCACATATTACTTCCGATTAATGTGAAACATAACTATTAGGTGATACAGACATATTTAAAGCATAATCATTAAAGCATAATCATAAAAGTGATTATGCATAAAGAAAAATTAGAAAAATACACTCTCAAACTTTCATAAGCTGGAATCGCATCCACGGCTAATTCTCAGCACAGAAAGTGTTTCTGCTAACGCCATCAGAAGCTGGTGGAGCACTTCCAGTAACTTTAAATGCAATTAGTTCATCAGTGTTACTCATCAAACCAGCGTGAGATCATAAACACAACCAGCCGCATCCTCACTGCACACAGGAAGCTCACTGTCTGACAACAGCACGGCTCTAAACGCTGAAATAAATATTAAATTAATAAAAGAGAAGAATCTCTCATAGAAAAGTGCCATAAGAGGATCAATCACGCCTGTTATCTACCGTACGTGTGCATTCAAACACATCTGTGAACAAATAATAATATTAATAATAATATTAATAACTTTATTTATAGAGCATTTTTCATAAATTCACACCCATAAAAAAGATCAAGAAAATGAACCATGAACACTCAAAAGAACCCTTTGCATGATTAAAGAGAAGGTGCTATGTAGAACCATCTACAGCACAATCTCCATCAATCCGAAGAACCATTTCACCATACAGAGAACCATTTAATCATGCAAAGGGTTCTTTGTGTGTCCATGGTTCTATATGGAAACATTTTCCTTACTAAAGAACCCCTGGAAGAACCATCTTTTTAAAGAGTGCACTATTAAATTAAGAAATTAGATCAAGAAAATGGTTCTATATAGAACCATGCCATTCAAAGTACCCTTTGCAGGATTAAAGTGTTCTTTCCATTGCAGAAGCGTTCTTCAGGTTCATGCAGAATGTGCTGTAGATGGTTCCATATAGCACCAAAAAGGTTCTAATGCTACAAGTTGACATTGTAAGCATGGCAGAACCCTTTCTGGTGCTATATAGAACCATCTACAGCATGTTTTCCATCAATTCGAAGAAGCTTTTCTAATGCAAAGAACCTTGTAATCATACAAAGGGTTCTTTGAGTGTTCATGGTTCTATACAGAACTATTTTCTTTACTAAAGAACCCTCAAAGAACCATCTTTTTCAAGTGTTTCACGATAATAAAGTTAGTTAAGTGATAAAAGTAAAAAAATAAAAAAATAAACGCTACTTCACAGGATGTTGCTGTAAGCATCTGACTGCGCAACCAAAGGTGACAAAAAGTGTTCTGTGGAGGAACCGCTACTGGAACCTTTCAACAGATGGTCTCTTAAAGAGCCATTGTTATCAATGAGTTGCGTGGAACCCTTTTTAATGTAATCTATACCTAATACGCCCAAATCTATTAATCATTTATTTTTAAGAACACTCAAAATAGAGGGTTCTTCAAGGGTTCTTTAGCAAAGACAATACAAAAGACAACAATTCTAAATAGAACCCTGACCACTTAAAGAACCACTTGCATGCTTAAACGGTTCTTTGCAGGGTAAAATTGTTCTTCAGTTTGATGGAGAATGCAACGTATATGGTTCTATATAGAACCTTTTTGAAAATGGAAACAGCAGAACTATAAGTAGAGCTCTATACAGGACCCTTTTCTGCAGGTTCTATATAGAACCTTTTGGAAAACGGTTCTATATAGCACCAAAAAGGGTTCTTCTATTATTATGATGTCAATCTTGTATACATCCCTTTTTGGAGCTATAAAGAAACATTTTCAAAAAATGTTCTATACAGAACCATATACCATCAATCTGTATAGAACCATTTCACCACGCAAAGAACCATCCAAGCATGAAAATGGTCCTCTGAGTGTTCATGGTTGTATACAGAACCACTATCTTTGCTAAGTGAACCCTTGAAGAACCATCTTTTTTTCGAGTAAATGTGATTTTTACAGTTCTATTGTTGCCATGGTAACCCTACCATTTACGTCAATATAGATTAGATTTCTACACAGTCCCCATAGACGACGTACAGACGCTCACACTGGCAACAAACTACCTGGTTTCTGTTTAAGGTCAGATTTAATAGTATGCTCTTAAAATAGATGGTTCTTCAAAGGTTCTTTAGTAAAGAAAACGGTTCTGTATAAAACTATAAACACTCAAAGAATCCTTCGCATGATTTAAATGGTTCTCTGCATGGTGAAAGCGTTCTTCAGACTGATGGAGAACGTGCTGTAGATGGTTCTATATAGAACCTGGGCTCTTTCGAAAAGGGTGCCATGTAGCTCCACAAAGCGCTCTATTGTTACGATGTCAAGTTTGTAATAAGAAAAGAACCTGAACCTGTTCTATTTTTTTGGTGCTAAATAGAACCCATCATATAAAACCATCTACAGCACATTCTCCCTCAGTCTGAAGAACCAATTTACCATGCAAAGAACACTTTAATCATGTAAAAGGTTCTCTGAGTGTTCACCGTTCTACACATAACCACTTTCTTTACTAAAGAACCCTTGAAGAACCATCTTTAAGTGTGCACGTAAAGTCAATTTGCTTTCAATAGACACTGAG